GTTGGTGAAAGGGCTGGAGGGAGGCAGCATGTTTGGCCTTGCAGTAATAGGCCTTGGGTTACTGCTGTCTTCCTCTTGTGAGATTAGAGGAGGTCAGAACATGTGGCCTCCTTGCCATTTTTGCACCTCATAACTGCACCAATGAGGAACACCAGGATAAATGGAGAAAAGATTGAAGCTGTCAAGGATTTCATTTAAATTGGATCCACAATCAATGCCCATAGAAGCAACAATCAAGAAATCAAATAACTATAGCATTGGGTAAATCTGCTGTAAAAAGACCTCTTTTAAGTGTTAAAGAGCAAAAACATCAGTTTGAAGACTAAGGTGTGCCTAATCTAAGGCATGGTATTTTCAGTAACTTCATATGCAAGTGAAAGCTGGACAATAAATAAGAACGATTTGAACTGTGGTGTTGGTAAAGAATATTGAATATATCATGGACTGCCAGAACAAAGCACAAATCTGTCTTGAAAGAAGTGCAGCCGGAATGCTCCTTGGAAGAATAGCCAGACATGGTCTCTCACACTTCGGTCATGTTATTAGGAGGGACCAGTTCCTTCAGAAGGATATTATGCTTGGTAAAGTAAAGGGTCAGGGAAAAAGAGGAAGACCCTCAACAAGATGGATTGACACAGTGGCTGCAATGATGGGTTCAAGCATCGCAACAATTTTGAGGAGGATGGCACAGGACCAGGCAGTGTCTCATTCTGCTGTACATAGGGTGGCTGTGGTAGTTAAGTTGTGTGTCAACTTGGCTGGGTCTGGTATTGAGTGGCTGGGACAGCTGGATGTAGTTATTCTCCATGATGAGAATGGTAATCAGCTCCATGGTGGAATCTACCATGAGCAGCTAAGTAGCTATCTTGGGGATGTGGTCTGCTTCCAGTCTATAAGAAGCATTGAGAAAGGTCTCTGCAGCTTTTGGCATGCTTGGATCCTGCACGTAGCAGAGTCATTATTCAGCAGACTGCCATGCTGTCTGCCAATCTTGGGACTACTAATGGACTTGAAATAGTGGCCTGCCATGTGGTTTAATAATTCTGGGATTGTGCCATTTTACTTGTTGACTGTGGGTTTGTCAGCCTCAGCAGTCAGCTGCTGCCTGAGTGAAAAGACACCTCCAGCTCCAGCGGGCCTAGAGCAAGAGGCAGAGCTGAAGCCCAAGGTCAAGGGGCTTTCACCCAGACCCTCAGGCTGGCACTTTGATCTCAGACTTATAGCTTCCTAAATGGTAAGAGAATAAATTCCTGTTTGTTAAATCCACCCATCTGTGGTATTTTCTGTTAGAGTGGCACTAGGCAACCAAAACAGTGGCTATGAGTTGGATCTGACTCGAAGGCACCTAACAACAACAACAAAGAAACCTACTTATAAAAAGGCTTATCTAGCTGTCAATGGACTCATCTGAGACTACAAATTCTAGCACATACAAATGATGCTTCCCTAAAGACTTACACAGCCTTGGAGATACTATGTGTGTCATATAAACAAAAACAAAACTCACTGCCATCGAATCAATTCCAACTCATAGTGACCCCCATTGGGTTTCCAAGGTGGTAAATCTTTAAGAAGTAGATTCCCTCATCTTCCTTCTGTGGAGCACCTGGTGGATTTGAACCACCAACCTTCTGGTTAACAGGCAAATGTGAGGCACTTAGGCACTGTGTCACCAGAGCTCCTTTTAGGTATCATATAGGCTCATATTATGAGTCAGACTCTACTCGATGGCAGTGAGGTTGGTTTGTTTTGGGGTTTTTAGAAAATAAATAAAACTGCTCAAAATCAAATATGGTAAAAATGAGGAATTTTTAAGCTATATAAGAATGTTTCTGGTAGAAAAATAAATAAAGTCTGACTCTAAAATTATGTTACCTTTTCTTGTGTTATTGATGGGCTAATTCTAAATGTTTTCCCAAATGTTTTGTGCCAACATTTGTCCGATGGGTATAAAGCATCTACTGTGGAAGGCCCCGGATTTTGGTGCTGGGGGAAATGCCATGATGGATAAAGAGCCTGCCGTGGGAGAGTTTTCAGTTTAGAGAGAGAGGTAGCTCCAGTGTGAAGCAGAGATAGGAGGACCACTTGAAGGGTATGGGTTAAGTGTTATGGAATTTCAGAAAAGAATGATTTGTAGCTGCAGGTATGATCAGGGAAGGCCTTATGAAGGGGACAGCTTTTGAGCAAATTGAGAGGGCTGAGCATTAATTAAGCAAGAGGAAATAGGGAGAAGGGTGTTGAAAGAGCAGACACGGTGTAAGTAGGAGGCCTGGAAACAGGAAAGCATAAGGTACCCACTGGGAACAAGAAGCAACTTAATTTGCCTAGAGCACAGGGTCGGTAAAATGGGACAGTAGAAAATTAGGAAAGATAAATTGGAGGCAGACTGCAGGGAGCTTATATTAATAGAATTATGGGATAGGTATATATTTAACATTTATGTGCTTCTTTTCTACTTTCCGTTTACGCTGGTGTGAATTCACCTAGCATTGAACAGTAACAAACTCAGACTAAACACTGAGAAAAAGAAAAGCAGAATGGCTTGATTTATCCACTGAATGTGCACTGCTATCCAAGGAGAGATGAGACTCAGATGGAACTGAGGAGATGTATTAAATATTTAAAAAGAAAATTTATTTAGTCAACAGATATTTACATGAATGCTCATTAACTCAAGTTACTATATAGATTCCCATTTATTACTTCCCAGTATTTATAATATACAAGCTAATAAAATGTTGTCAGTTTTTCTTTCTAATAAAATTACCTTATTCTAATACACATAATTATATACATTTAGTAAATTTCTTATACAGGTTAACTATTTCTACTGTATTCATTTTTGTACTTAACAACACCCTTGCTTTCAAAGATAGCACAAAACAAATTTCAATTCAGCCCAACATCAAATATCTCTCAATAGAATCTGAATTAAAGAGCTATACACTTAAGAGCTATATGAATTAAAGTACTACTACAGGAAGATGGGGCGATCTACTTCCGTAGTGATACCACCTCAGAAACCCAAGGAGTGGTTGCTATGAGTTGGGTCCAACTTGATGGCACATAACAACAACACAGGTATTCCTAGGAGCTCTGGCCTAAAGCATTTGACTGCTAACCAGAAGGCTGCGGTTCAAACCCACCAGCCACTCTGCAGAAGGAAGATAGGCAATCAAGTTCCGTAGAGATAATGCCTTGGAAACCCAAGGAGGGGTTGCTATGAGTCAGAATTGACTTGATGACAGTGGGTTTGATTTTGGTTACAGGTATCCCTCACTTTATAGCACGAAAAAAGCTGAACATTTGATCCCAAAGATTTTGATGAATTAAAATAAGTGGTCTGATACCTCAGGGGAGAAACACCCTTCATAAGCCACATTAAAAATTTCTGATAAGATGGGCCTATGTTACTGGCTTACCTTGCAGCACTGGGTATTTGAGAGCCTCCCAGTGGCTCCATTAGGTGAGACATTTGTAGAGCCCTGCCCTGACCAGGGATTCCTCCCGTTATGACTTCCCCTGTATCTGAGCATCTTCCCAAGTCTACCTTTAGAGTCCCAGAAATGACACTGTGCTGTAGGATGAGTAATTGCCACTACACACCAATATGAATGTATCAATCTACAGTATCATACCTCAGCCACACACCTCACACATCACCTGATTCAACCTGAAGATCTTTAAGCTTGAGGCTTCAGGTTAAAAAACAAATTGGTGCTCTACATCAACAATTTGAAGGTTAAAATGCAGTCTATTGAGAGGTTACTTTAAACAAGGGATACCTGCATTTTGAATTAATTAAGCATCTCCTCTTCCCAGGAGCTGCCAAGCATTGGAGCACTTGCAGAATTTAGTTCTTCACCAAAGTCAGTTCAGGCAAGCTCCTGAAAGGGAATAATGCTGCTCATTGACCCATATCCTCTTAAGACATTCCTTCTACTTTGTACATTAAAACTCTAAAAGGAAAAACTACTTACAAAGACAAGAGGAAGACCACTGTTCCCTGCAGGTTAACCAGAACAGCAAGGGTCCTCCAAGAGCGGATGAAGTATCCTAACAGGGCATACTGGGCAATGCCAACTGCAAAGAAGAGGCCGCCGATTGATCCTAATTCAGGAAAAAAGAGACCTGTTACTGGGGAAAGCACCATCTGCAGTTCCATTTCCATCCCAAATCACAGAGCCAATTCCTTCTTCGTAAGATGTCGGCCCTACCCTGGCAAGTGTAAGAGGCAGAGCAGAAAAGAAAAATCTATGTAAATATCATGCATCAGAAAATAAAGCTAGAGGACAGGTCAAGAAATTAGTGAAAATGGAGGAACAACTGATGAAAAATTGAATTCACAGCTGGACACAATGAATTTTAAGGGCTCAAGGGCCCTCTTAAATGCTTTCTGTATTGAACATTGTATAGACATCTACCTGAACCTGTGGCTGAGGCTTTAAAGTTTTTTTTGTTTTGTTTTGTTTTTGCCATACGGGGGAAAAGATTGTTAGATTATAAGGTTATTATAAAGGTAGGACTTCATTTTTATTACAGAAGCTGTCCCTAAAAGTTGTGATATTTTATATCACAACTTACTCTGCAGTTTTCCCTACTTAATTTACAACCATTGGATATATAACATTTCCATACATATTTGTTTCTTGTCTGACTTTCCAAACAGAATAAAAGCTCTATGAGGCATGGATTTTTACCAGCACACTGATAGGAAAAAAGAAGAAAAAAAAAATCAACCCTGGGATTATCAAATAATCCTGTGTTTTTTTAAATAAAAGTTTGGATGGGTATTAAACTCCACTGGCTTGTCCAATGCATCTGCAAATTCTATACCTTTGAAGTGATTTCTGTAACTGCAACTATCACCACAACAGTAATAATAAAACCAGTTGCCATTGAGTTGCTTCTGACTCACGGCAGCTCCATGTGTGTGAGAGCAGATCGGTGCTCCTCAGGGTTTCAATGGCTGCTTCTTTGGAAGTCGATCACTAAGTGTTTCTTCTGAAGCACCTCCGGGTGGCCTAGAACCTCCAATCTTTTGGTTACCAGCCAATCATGTTAACCATTTGTACCACCCAAGAATAACAGCTACTGTTTATTGAGTATTAAGCGTTTTACACTGTCCCATAAAGCAGGTGCCATATACTGAAGTGAGGAAATAGCTCAGAAAGGTGAAGTGAAGCTAGGACAGAGGGCTGCCTGTGGCAGGGCTGGGACTTGGATCTAGGTCTGACTGACTGGAAAGCCAGCACTCTGTACCATTTCTTTGTCACATCTTCCTTCTGTGAAAGAGCTATTGCTGTGGGTCTCCCATAGCAACCAGACTTTGTTCATCTTGTGACAAAAATTGTCTACAATGAATAATGCTGTAAAACAAAGGTTTTCTATATTCTTTTTTTTCTTAATTTTTTTTTTTTTTTTTGCAGGGTTCTCTCCCCTCCTCTCCCACATGTTTTCCCTGTTCTTATCCACAGATTATGACTCTATAACAAAAAATAATGGCTTGCATACTATTGCTCCTAGTGAGGAAAGGGGGAGCTAAAAAGGAGAGCAGAAGGGGAAGTTTCAGGGATTCTCTTTTTAAAACCCCACTTCTCAGAAGGAAGGTTGGGCAATCTACTTCCATAGTGATACTGCCTCAGAAATCCAAGGAGAGGTCGTTATGAGTCGGGTCCAACTCGATGGCACACAACAATGACAACAACAATTAGAACATGTGGTTTGAAAAGTAAGGGAATGAGGACTGTGTGATTTTCCTGGAGATTAATATAATCAGTAGCTATTATGGGTGCATCCCCATGCATGAAAGAGCACTTGGCCTCCAGAAAAAGGGCTTCTTGTCATTGCTGGTCTTTACTAAGTCATGCTCCCACCTAACTCCAGCTCCAGGGCACCCTTTCCCTCAATCTCTACTAACTCTCACCTTGTCTAAGCCACCATTGGGTTTCATGTGGACAATTACAACAGCCTCCTAAACGATCACTGAATTTCTGTTCTTGATCTTCTACAATCTATTCTCCACTCATTTACCAGAGTCTGTTCATAAGATCCTATCACTCCTCTATTTAATACTCTCCATTGGTTTCCCATTGCACTTTGAAAAAACCAGTCCTTCACTGGGCCTAAGGAGCTCTGGTGGTGTAGTGGTTAATGCATTTGGCTGCTAACCAAATGGTCAGTGGTTCGAACCTACTAGCTGCTCCACATAAGAAAGATGAGGCAATCTGCTTCCATAAAGATTTACAATGTTGGAAACTCAGTGGGGATCACTATGAGTCAGAATCAACTCGATGACAGTGAGTTTGGTTTTATTTTGGTCACTGGACCTATCATTGGGCCTACATCATCTGGTGCCTTTCAACTGTATCTCCCTGCACTCTCCCCCTAACTCTCTATGCTATAGCCACAGGCATCCTTTCAGGTTCTCAAAGAGTAGCAGTCCATTCCTGCCTCAGCTCTTTGCCATCCTGAAAACATTATGGCTGAAATGTTTTCCTCCCAGAACTTCACATAGTGAGGTCATCTTCACCACTTACGACTCAGACAAATACCTACACAGGTGTTTTCTGCAGCTATCCAATCTAATGGAACAAGGCCTCCTGCAATTATTGTCTAGCCCATTACCCTGTTTAATTTTATGTACTGTACTTAAAATTTTATAAAATTATTTCATTTTTTGGTTTTATATGCTCTCTCTCCTAGTTAAAATGTAAGTGCCATGAGAGCAAGGACTATTTCCCACTCACTCCTATTTTGTCCACTCTTTTATCTGAAGTGCCAAAAGCAATGTTTGGTACATGTTAACACTGTATAACATACAAATCTATTACAAAAGGAAAATCTCTGGAAGGGTATACAGCAAGATGTTAACCATGGTGGTTTCTAGGTGGGTAGGATTATATGTACTGTTTATGTTTGACATATATATGTGTGTGTGTGTGTGTTAATTTTTTTATAATGAGTATCAATTATTTTAATAATAATAATAATAATAATATATAATATATTCAAGTGTTTACTTGAATAAGAAACACATTAAAATGGAATTTTTTAAGGTTTTTGTTTTGTTCTTTAATTCTCAATAACATTCAATTGACCTCATTCTTCTTTTTAAGAAATATATCGAAAATTGGCCAAAAATAGATGTTTCCAGTTTGCATTTATGCTTTTTCTGTACATGTTTTACATGCTGTCTTATAGATACTGCAATTATTTTGTAACCAAGTACAGTAAAACCTGTAAAAGCCAAAACCTGTATAAGGCAGAAACCTGTCAGGGAAGAAAAACTCACACATTTGCTACTAAAATGAGTAACAAAAGCAGTAAGACTGCAGCCTGTCAAAGGCAAAAAACCTTTCAAGATACAGAAAAACAAGGCAGTTTCATTGAGTTGTGGATCTATTTTCAAACTAATTTCTTACTGCTAAATAATTAGGCTATTATTTCTAATTCACCTTAAAACTGGAAAACAATGCTAAGACAAGCAATACAAGAAACTCCTTTATTGGAATTTTCTTATTACATTTTATTAATTCCTTGTTTCACAGCCCTTTTTGGGTTTATTGTAATTTCTTTTTCAAGTCAGGAGATAGTACTATTGTACTTCTTTACTGATTCTTACTTTGCAAAATTGAACCTATATGCTGTATTGTTTTTCATAATCTTCTCAAGAATCACCACCACCAACAACAACAAAAAAATCACTGCTGTGGAGTTGGATCTAATCCACAGCGATCCCTTCCTGGATTTCCAAGGTAGTATCACTACGGAAGCAGATTACCCAAAAGGTTATTTGATTGAAATTACTGTGTTGGGAGAGTGACTATATCTAAGATCCTGCATTTGGACTGCAGATCCAAAATCCCCTATTGCTGTATATTTATATTTATTCTAACTTCTTGCAATTCATCAGCATATTTGAAGCCACAGGGATATATAAAAGACTGTGCTGGAGAGAAGCAGCTTGAAAAGAAAAGCCAAGGACAAACTTTAGGGAGCTCCTTGGTTCAAGGGGGAGAGAAGGAAAGTCCTCACATGAGTCTCAAGCATAACCACAGACCTTCCTTGTCCTGGATACAGGTCAGTGCACTGGCCTTCAGGGAACTCTTTCCACTCACTGTGAATTTCACATTGAATTTGGCAACCATCTGCTTCCACTGTTGCTATTCTTTTTCCTTTTCTCCCTTTTTTCTTTGCTACAGAAATTTTAATAGCTTCATCTTCACACAGCTTTAAGGATAAGAATGGGAAGCTAAAGCACTTTAGTAGGAATCTTTTCATTGGCTTTAGTCAATTGACAAGGAAGTAAGAGATTGGGAGGTCCTTCTTTTTGTCTAATACATGCAACAGGACAAGAATAAACCCCAGATCATCTGGCAAAGTGGGGGAAGAATATGTCCTTTGTATAAGAGTATCTATGTAAAACAATTAAACTAAATCATGAGTAATTTAATATAGAAATTTGCGAGGTACATGAAAAATATTAAGTCATGCGACTATGTTAGCAAGATTTTGGACCTCAGGAACACTGAAATCACAGGACAGAGAGCCTTTGGGCCTTCTCTGGATAAAGAACATGGCAGTAATTACCATTATTATTCATTCCTCAGGAAAACTCTAGCAAGTCTGATCTCACTGCTTGGAAAAATGCACTAAAGCCTCAATGGAAATTGAAGACTGAGAGGATACTTCTTACTGGTCCTAGCCCAGAATCTGGGCTAGGAGAAAAAGTAGTTCAGAAGGCTTTGGAAGCTGCTCTGGGGAATATGGGACATCAAGCACTGCCATGTGAAAAATCATTGTGAAGCCTGCTGGTTTAGATGGGCCTGGTGCCTCTTGCTCCCAGTCTCATTCTAAATGGTCCAACCCTATTCACCTTTCAACTTGGACAGCAGCTAGAACACTGGTTTATTTTATTTAGTCTTTGTCTTCCAGCTCAATCCACTAGCCTTCTCCAACTTCAAAAGCAACACCAGAGAAAGAGAACAGTCGGCCAGATGAGCACTGGTGTGAGGTGACCTCAGCACTGGTGTGCGGTCCGAGAGGAGAGGCCTCATGAAATAATGAGAAGGACATGAGCTTGGGGATCAGCCAGACCCAGGTGCCATCTTGGCCTATCAGTTATGATCTATGTGAAAATGGGCATGACACCTCACTTCTCAGAAGCTCAGTGTCTTCATCTGTAAAATGAAGGTAGGAATTCTTAACTTGCATAGTTTGGGAATATTACAGAGATATGTCAAATGCTTCGCATGGTATCAGGCACATGAGAGATATTCAACATATGTAGCTGGCTCTCTGCATTAGTTAACATGAAGACAATGGAACGCTCTCATATATACTCCTTACATAGACATATTTCTTTGATCCACATGGTCAACTTGTTTCCCATATCAGTATAACACATCAATTGTTCTTAATAATTTTAAAACAAATGAAAAGGAAAACAAAAGGTTATCATTGCAAACCTACAGTCCAAAAAGTAGAGTCTTAGACAAAGTCACTCTCCCAAGATAGTATTTTTAAGTCAAATAACTTTAAAGTTTTTATTTTACTATATATGTAGTTCTTGAGAAGATGACAGGATGGTTAAAAAAATATATAGAATATGGGTTTTAGTTTGAAAAGTAAAAATCAGTAAAGAAATGCTACAGTTGTACTATCTCCTGATTTAAAGAAAACTGGGAAAAAAACAGAAAGGGCTATAAAACAAGGATTCAACAAAACATAATAAGAAGGTTCCAACAAAGGAGTTTCTTGTACTTCCTGTCCCAGCTCTCCTTTTCAGTTTGAGGTAAAAGGTATTTAGTGCCCTCTTGAAGAAATCAGTCTCCACAATAATCTGAGCGCAATCCCTGAGGCAGGTGGTAAGTCATCATTTGTGAAGTGAGTTTATAACAGAAGAACATGAATAAAATGACTCATTCATGGTCGTATAAAACAAACTCAGGTAACAAGTCTAATTGTTGGATAGAGAGAGTTGAATCCAAATGAACTTTCAGGTTCTAGGGTTAAACTGGCTGCCTACAAGGTCTTCTGGAGCTGCTCACCATCTCCACATCTGCACAGATTTACGCAGTACCTGCTAATGCCCAGTAGGCGGTGCCCACACATTCGTTTAACAAGACAAAGGCCACCAGCGACATCCCTCCATTCATCATGCCCACCAGGAAGCGAGTTATTGCAAAGAACTCGTATGAGGGGGAAAATCCATTTGCAATAGCAAATAAAATGTCAAGAGCAAAACCTAGCAAGAGAAGAAAAGTATTCAATTATTCAGAGGCAAAACATCATTTGATGAACATAATAAATAATATTCATTAGTTTGTAAGGATGAACCTTAGTAAATTTAAATCATCTCAGCTAGTTCTCTTAAAACTATAAAGAAAAATTGAGATTTTCTTTCTCTGATGCAAGCTGACTTCTGTCTATCACACAGTTTTCAGTTACAATAATGCTAGAACTTGAAAAATCCTAGCTCATACTTAGCCTGTCAAGAAAACTCTTCTGAGTCCTGTAGAGCTCACTGTCAATGAATTCACACAGATATGAGGAAACAGATCTAGTGGACTGCCTCAATCTTTTTGCCTTTTCTGCTTACAAGGCATAAATTGGAATTTGGAGGTTGCAGAAAGCACTATCATTTATGAAAAGCACACAATGCAAACATCTTGCCTTGACCAGGTATGCTGGTCACTAACATATGCTTGGCCAGATTTAACTTGCTGCAGTTTGGCCTCTTGCCATTGTAATAAAAATCAGTTCTATGTCCACATGCTAATCCCTTAAGATCCTTAAGCAAATATCAGTTGCCATCAAGTTGACTCTAGCTCATGGCCACCCCATGGTTGTCAGAGTAGAACTGAGAGTCTGCCTTATTTAGTTTCCTGAGAGTCTTAAGGAAATAAGTCCTCTTACTCAGTGCATGAACATTACATTACCTGTGAGATAGACTTTCTTCCTTCCGAAGCGATCTGAAAGTTGACCAAAAGAGATAACTCCCACAAACACACCACTGAAGAAAAATGAGCTTGCTGCACTGACTTTGTAAGATCTGTTTGCAATTAGAAACCACTAGAGGAAGAAAAATAAGAGGAATTTAGGTCACAGAAAAGGCGGATGCATTGACATAGGTATTAAAAAATCAAATGTACAACAAAAACTTGCTCATATGATCTTCTTCACCTCATAATACACTAAACCCATTGCTGTTGAGTCAATTCAGACTCATAGTGATCCTATAGGACAGAGTAGAACTGCTGGAGCTCTGGTCACATAGTACCTAAGGCATTTGATTGCTAACCAGAAGGTGGTTCAAATCCACCAGCTACTCCCTGGAAGGAAGGTTGGGCAATTTACTTCTGAAGAGATACTACTTGGAAACCCAAAAAGGGGTTGCTATAAGTTGGAATTGACTCGACAGCAGTGAGTTTGGTTTTTATAGGGTTTCCAAGATAGTAAATCTTACGAAGTAGATTGTCACATCTTTCTCCTGTGGAGCAGCTGGTAGGCTTGAACCACCCACCTTTTGGTTAGCAGCCAAGTGTTTATACCACCGAGTCACCAGGGCTCCTCATAACCAACTAGTGACCAAAATTCAGTGTAGCATCCCCCTTAGACAACATTCAAGGAGATTTTCTCTTCAGAAGCATTAGAAATCATTATAACGATGTGATCCTTAGTACTCTCTATATATCTATATATAACAGTCCTGGAAACTATATAGTAGCTAATTGTTTAAATATCTGTTGACTATGTCCTCATCTTAAACCCCTGTGTTTCTTGAGAGGAGAGGCTGTGTCTCATTCATTTCCATTTCCCTAACAACACACTGTCTGGTACGTATAAGGAAGTGAATGAATGGTCTTTTCCTCCGAGAATGTATTTTGGGTTTAAAATCCTTTGCATACTTTAAAAAACCAAAACAAAACTCACTGCCATCAAGTCAATTCCAACTCATAGTGACCCCCTTTGGGTTTCCAAAGCAGTAAATCTTTACAGAAGTAGATTGTCCAGTCTTCCTTCTGTGGAGTTGTTGGTGGGTTTGAACCATCAACCTTCTGGTCAGCAGTCAAATCCCTTTGGCACTACTATGCTACCAGAGCACCTTTAAAACAAGCAAACAAACAAAAAAACCACACCTATGCTGTCGAGTTGATTCGACTCATAGCAACCCCTCCTTAGGTTTCCGAGGGAGTATCTCTATGGAAGTAGATTGCCCAGTCTTCCTTCTGGGGGAGTAGCTGGTGGGTTTGAACTGCCAGCCTTCTGGTTAGCAGGCAAATGCCTTAGGCACCATGCCACCAAAGCTCCTTTAAGGCACCTTGTAAACTTAAAAGGAAAGCAACACCATTATCTAAAACCCTATCTAGAAATGTGTTAAGGTGATTGCTTTGGTTACCTAGTGCCACTCTGATAGGATTATACCACAAATGAAATAGTTTGAAAAAACAGTTTATTCTCTTACAATTTTGGAGGCTTTAAGTCTGAGTTCACAGTGCCAGGCTCTAGGGTCTGGGCAAAAGCCTCTCAACCATGGGCTTCAGCTTTGCCTCCTGCTCCCAGCCCACTGAAGCTGGAGGCTTTTCTTCACTCAGCTCCTGGCTGTCAAGGCTGACAAGGCCAAGGTTGACAAGTAAAAAGGCACAGTTCCAACGTTACCAAACAACATGGTAGGCCATTAATTCAAGTCCAGATGAAGCCCCAAGATCAGCAGGGCATGGCAGGCTGTTGAACTTGGCTACATGCAGGGTTCAAGCATGCCAAAAGGCCAGAGACCGTTTCCAAAGCTGTTTCTTATATACAGGAAGTAGACCACATCCCTAAAGCAGCTACTCCAATAGATTCCACCATGGAGTTAATTATCAATCTCACCATGAGGAATAACTACATCCAGCTGCCCAGCCATTCAACCAGGCCCAGCCAAGTTGACACACAAACTACCACGATGATCTTTGGTTATAAAGATAAAAGTCAATCTATGTTACAGAGATAACCCCACAGATCAAGAGAACACTCATCTTTCCTTTCCCAGACCCTTTCCCTAGAACCAGAGAAGACAGATTTATAAAGAACTCATCAACAACTTGCAAGAAGACCCCTTTTTCAGTTGCTCTTCTCCACCTCAGACCACTCCTTCCCTCATACTTTGACAACCAGTCATTGTGGCTCAAAGCACACTTCTCTTTCCCTTGTTTTTCCTGCAAGACTGGATTGCTAAAGATCTGGGCAAGACATCTTCTGGACAACTCTATGCAAAAAAAAAAAAAAAAAAAAAGACACATGGATCAGAAAGCATAATGTCCCCTCACTAATGTGCTTTACTTCTGAATGCTCCCGTTCTTTACACGTAAACCTTAACAAGCTTAAATTACTTCTTTTTCCCTAGCCTATCATGTGGTAGAAATAGCAAACTAGAGAACTGCTGCTTTTAGAAGTAGTTATCAGGAAGTAGTTATCACTACTCCTGTTGGTAGTCATAATTATGACAGGAGATAATAATGAAAATGATATGAGCAAAAAACTGAACTAAGTTCCAAACATTTTTTCCTATTCAGGTAATCAACACTTATTTGTTTAGTTTCTACTTTTGTTGTTGTTAAGTACCAGCAAGTCAACTCTGACTCATAGCAACCCTATGTACAGCAGAATGAAACATTGCCCAGTCATGTACCATCTTCATAATTCTTGCTATACTTGAGCCCATTGTTGCAGCCACTGTGTCAGTTCATCTTGTTGAGGGTCTTCCCCTTTTTTGCTGACCCTCTCCTTTACCAGGCATGAATCCTTCTCCAGGGAATAGTCCCTTCTGACAATATGACCAAAGTAGGTAAGATGAAATCTGGTCATTCTTGTTTCCAAGGAACATTCTGCCTGCACTTTGTCCAGGACAGATTGGTTTGTTCTTCTGTCCATGGTATTTTCAGTATTCTTTGTCAACACCACAACTCAAAGGCATCAACTCTTTTTTGGTCTTCCTTATTCATCGTCCAGCTTTCACATGCATGAGGTGATTGAAAATACCATGGCTTGGGTGAGGTAACCACAAGTCTTCAAAGTGACATCTTTGCTTCTTAACACTCTAAAGAGCTTTTTTTGCAGCAGATTTGCCCAATGTAATAAGACTTGAGTTCTTGACTGCTGCTTCCATGGGTGTTGATTGTGGATCCAAGAGAAATGAAATCCCTGACAACGTCCATCTTTTCTCCAATTATCATGGTTTTGCTTATTAGTCCAGTTATGAGGATTTTTGTTTTCTTTATGTTGAGGTGTAATCCACACTGCAGACTGTATGCAGTCCTTGACCTTCATCAGTCAGTGCTTCAAGTCATCTTCACTTTCAGCAAGCAAGGCTGTGTCACCTGCATACTGCAGGCTGTTGAATCTTCCTCTAATCCTGATGCCACATTCTTCTTCATATAGTCCAGCTTCTTGGATTATCTGCTAAGCACACAGATTGAATAAGTATGGTGAAAGGATACAACACTGATGCACACCCTTCCTGATTTGAAATCAAGCAGTATCCCCTTGTTTTGTACATAGCCTCTTGGTCTATGTACAGGTTACTTATGAGCACAATTAAGTACTCTGGAATTCCCATTCTTCACAATGTTATCCATAATTTCTCATGATGCACACAGCCAAATGCCTTTGCATAGTCAATAAAACATAAGTAAACATCTTTATGGTATTCTTTGCTTTCAGCCAAGATCCATCTGACATCAGCAATGACATCCCTCATTCCATGTCCTCTTCTGAGTCCAGCTTGAATTTCTGGAAGTTCCCTGTCAATATACTGCTGCAACTATTTTTGAATTATCTTCAGCAAAATTTTACTTGTGTGTGACATTAATTATATTGTTTGATCATTTCCATATTCTGTTGGATCACCTTTCTTCAGAATGGGCACAAATATGGGTAATTTTCAGTCAGTTACCAGGTAGCTATCTTCCAAACTTCTTAGCATAGATGAGTAAGTACTTCTGTTTGTTGAAACATCTCTATGGGTATTCCATCAATTCCCGGAGCCTTGTTTTTCAACAATTGGACTTCTTCTTTCAATACCATCAGTTCTTGATCATATGCTACCTTCTGAAATTGAACACTGACCAATTCTTTTTGGTATAGTGACTATGTATTCCTTCCATCTTCTGATGCTTTCTGAATCATTCAGTATTTTGCCCATATAATCCTTCAATATTGCAGCTTGAGACCTGAAGTTCTTCTTCAGTTCTTTCAGCTTGCAAAATGCAAAGCATGTTCATCCTTTTTGATTTTCTAACTCCAGGTCTTTGAGCATTTCATTATAACACATTGCTTTGTTTTCTGAAGCCCCCTTTGAAATCTCCTATTCAGCTCTTTTATCTCATCATTTCTGCCAATAACTTTAGCTACTCTGTGCTCAAGAGCAAGTTCCATAGTCTCTTCTGACATCTATTTTGGTCTTCTCTACCTTCCCTGTCTTTTTAATGACAACTGGCTTTCTTCATGTGTGATGTTCTAGATTTCATCCCACAACTTGTCTGGTTTTCCGTCACTGGTGTTCAATGCATGAAATCTATTCTTCACATGGTCTCTAAATTCAGGTGGAATACAATCAAGGTCATATTTTGGCTCTGGTGGTGCAGTGCCTAAGGCATTTGACTGGTAACCAGAAGGCTGGAGGTTCAAATCCACCAGCCATTCCTCGAAAGGAAGGTTGGGCAACCTACTTCCATAGAGATACCACCTCAGAAACCCAAGGAGGGGTCACTATGAGTCAGATCTGACTCAACGGCAGTGAGTTTGGTTTGGTTTGGATTTGTTTTAATTGCCTTCAGCTTCAACTTGAACTTGCATGCGAGCAACTGATGGCCTGTTCCATAGTCAGCTCCTGGCCTCATTTTGCCTGATGATATTGAGCATCTTCATCACCTCTCTCCACAGATGTAGTCAATCTGATTCCTATGTATTCCATCTGGTGATGTCCACATGTATAACCACCATTTATGTTATTGAAAAAAGGTATTTGGAATGAATAAGTCATTCTCTCACTGCCGTCAAGTCGGATCCAACTCATAGCGACCCTTCTTTGG